CTGAAAAAGAAGAGATCCCCCAGAAGGTAATAAATAGGTAAAAACGAGACTGATTCGAAGTAAAATTATGGATTCATTAACATGAACAGCAAGAAGACAAAGAAAAAATGTAACAAAAGGAGTCAACTACGATGACATACTTTACTCACTGTACACATTTTTAGGATTCAAACAGACATACTTTTACAACACTCAACGTTTTGTATTCGCAATGCTTTAATTATACTTCAAATGTGTTTTTGGGTGATAATTAATAATAATTTTATTAATTTTATCAAAAAAAAAAAACAACAAACCGTTTTTAATCCGAATGAATGATTAATATTAAGCAGCTCGCCTCCAAATTCATGTTATTTTCATGAAAATTTTGGAAATTTATTTAAAAGTGAAATATTGTGAGGTGAACAAATAAAGTAATTTACATATATTGCAATCGGCATGTACAATCTAAGAAAATTAATAAAAAGTGGTCCACATATGCAAAAAACAGCCCTTACTGCGTTAGTAACGCAGTGGAAATATTGTGATAGGGCAAAACTGCCAAATCATCTTAAACCGCACATAAACATGAAATTATAACTTGGGTCTTCAATGTTTTTTAAACATTTTCCTCAATATCAATTTTTTTGAAATATTTTTGTCTGATCTGGAGGCGTGCATCTTTAAACATTTGCTTTGACTTTTCCATCCTTACCATAATGGATTTATTCTGCTTTGAATCTGCAACATTTCATTCATTGGTTTTAGGGTTTTTAATAACAAAATACAAAAATTGAGCTACCGTCAGTATAGTGCCTGTTCATACTATGCGGATGTGAAGGCTGACCAGGGTGTATACAATTGGCGAAAGCTAATCAACCAGTGACGTTTTGTTGTTGTTGTCGTTAACGTATGTGTTATGTTTAAAAATTGTACTACCTATTATGTTATAGATCTTCATTTCAATGAAAGATCTCGCATATATATATATATATTTTACATCATTTTGTTACATTCAATACAGGTGGAATATTTTGTTACAGTTTCGTTATGAACTATCTATATGTTATCATTGATCTATTTGTTTGCATTTGAGTTGATTTCAAAACTAGAAACAACGCCAAAGAAAGGGAATTTCATCTTTCTATAAAATGAGTGATAAAACAAATATAAAGATAAGAAAGCCATGGAAGAACGCTCGTTGTTTTTTTTGTGACCGAGGTCATCAGATGTAGATTTAAAAACTCAGTATAAAAGAGGTAAGAGGTCAGTGCTCTGCGAACAAGGTTTTGACAGCAAGTCATGATTCTTACAACTTTTTTCCTTGCTACCGCAGTAAGTTTTTGCTTAGTTTAAGCGTTATCTTTATTTACTTGTTTTGTTTTGTTTGTTTTTGTTTGTTTTATTATGCTTTTTATTTTGTGTCTGACATTTTCTTGGAAAATATGAAAGACATTCATATTGAATTTCTACAACTTTACAAGTTAAAGAAATACGGAGAAAATTCATCCATTGGTTCCATTTCTTAAAAATCAGGCGTGCACGTGTCGGGGTGCAGAGATATTTATATTATTTATTCACTATACAATTATTTGAAAAAATATTACGTGATCTGTTAGAAACACAAGCAATTGCGACAATTTGTCTCTTGTTGAAGACTAACTTGATCAAACTATGTATTTAGCTGAATTCAGTGATTCTATTTTTGTTTTTTGTTTTAGATTTTTGCCCGTTGCCAATGGCGCCACCACGGTAACAATGCCGGCCAATGAACGACAACTATGCCTCCAGCTAGCAACTATGATGGCAAAGATTTTGTACGATGCCCCAAACAATGTAATATTTCTTTAACCCTTTGAATATTTAATACTAATTGATCAATGTATTCTTTAATTGATATGTTGCTTGTGGCCCGTTTTGCGTCGTTATCCATTATTTCATCATTACAACATCTTGATAAATTTAGGACAAACTTTTCCCAAGAATGATCCCTGGATTATTCCCCCTAAAAAGTTACATAAGTGGTTCCAGCTAAAAAGGACTTAAAACTTTGGGGGATCCCCACCCCCCATAAAAATCATGCTTCTGGTGTAAAAATTGGGGTCACATAACTTGTTTAGACTTATTAAGGGGAAAAAGACTTAAACAATTGTTTACTACAAAACTATAATACCCATAGCTTTCGATGTTTTAATATAGCATGTACATGGTCAAAATGGATTGGCCCAAAGTCAGTAGTGCCCAATTACATATTACAATGTTATAGGAACTGAAGTGAATCATTATAACATCAATAACAGAAGCGTTCATGTTGCATCTCTTGGTTAGATCCTCATTAAACTTTTATAAATAATGCAGCTGGGTCAAAATGACCAGAGGTATGTAGCTTTTTTGATAATTACTAAGATCTTGAAAGAATAACGACTATTTTTCCAGCCCAATAGGGTAGTGCGGCTTTTGCAAATTTACCTACTCATATCTGGAAGAATAAAAACTTTTCTGGCAATAGTTTTCAGGTGAACGGTCTAGGGTCACCCATGGTTGTTTTGTTAATATATACATGTACACTCGTTTCCAAAGACAATCTTAAATATCTTTGATGCCTGTCTGCGAATTAGTGAATGTTAGGGGTAGGGCTAAAAAAGCTCATATACATTTTAATATCTAGATTACATATACATGTGAATTTTGTACACGGATTTTGAAGTTTAAATTCAAGTTTGTATATTTTAAATATAAATATAAGATATGGCTTCTTCATGTTAGTCTCAAACATGTTTTGTTGCCGATAAAATTTGTCTGCGTAAAAACGACTGAAAGACTTAACCTATCTTAAGTAACAGAGATATTTAGCAAAAAAGAGTAGCTTAGTTGTTTTTTGGTGTAACTGCTTTTAACAATCTGAATAATCACATTCCAGAAAAAAGCTATGATCAGTTGCGAGCAGACGGTTGTTACGAGTAACCATATGAATCATCAAGATTAATCTGGATTCAAAAATGATGCGCCAGACCAGCCTCTCGAGGTAAACATTATAACATTTGGTAGATAAGTAGGTTGTTTAAGCAACCATTGACACGAACAGAACATTCTTATAAATGTTAAGTAAACGTTGATATGACAAAATGTGTCATATATATCATGAGAAAGCGGTGACACGATAGACTCTTACACACCAAGTTAGCGTTGTCATGACGTGTATATCTTATAACGTTGAAATACTTACTATACGTCAAATTCATGTAGACATGATAAAATGTGTCTTAAATAGTTCAAGCATAAGCTTTGACGCATATAAATATTATATCAATTAAGCAGGCGTTTTATATAAGTCGAGGAAGCATTAAGATACATCACGATAAAAACGGAAATGACCGAATTTTTTACGAACGTATCGCGTTTCGTTGCTATACATGTTTATATTTTGCTTTTTCCTTTCAAGGCCAAAATGCTCAGTGCGTTGGCTTCAGCAACAAACTTTCAGGAAACAGGTCACCATCATATTGATCACATGACACAAGAAATCAGGTCAGCTTGCGCCGCGCTTACAGTGTACAGTTTTGATATTGCTCGATAGACATCAAATGTTCATGTTACCAATAATATTTATGTCAATAAAACTAAATACAACCTACTTTATATAATTTTACTGTTTTTATTTAAAAATCCATTTGAAACGAATTATAGAAGAGAAGGCAATTCGATATTATTTTCCTATGTATTCGTTGATGAATAGTTGTTTTACAATATTCCCCTTTAATGATACGAAATGCCAGCATGATCAAGAAGTTAACTCCTTGATCTTGCGATCAGAAAATACAAAAAATGTCTGTGCAAAGAGCTTGGACAAAGAGTTATTGAGTATTGGACTTCTCCTAATTTTTTGAGACACCACTTAAAGTGGCGATTCTCTTTTGAGTTCTAACGATCGTGCTTGTGTGCTTACTTGTTCAACCAAAATGATATAATAATCACCTGGTGTGATTTTAAAGCCATGTCTTACCTCTCACACACCATTTAAAAGCGCACATCAAAAGCCCCCCCCAATAAAAAAACACCAGACAGAAATATAAAATGGATTCACATTTTTCTTCTGAAGAAAACAATATACTTTGTTCTCTTGAGGGCTTTATTACAGAATCTTATCGAAATAGGTTGCGAGAAAGCGGTCCATTTTAATATCCCATGTGGTGTTGGTTGTTGGTAGTTTCAACTCCCCAAATCAACTGCAGCAAGCCAAACTGAATTTCCAGAGCACATTTCTGCAACCGGCATCCGTTCCTGGGCAGGCTGTCAAGCAGTTAATAGTTGCGCTTTCACGTTCGCAGGAACTGATAATTTCTCTTCATGACAGAGCAGGAGTATATTTTATAATGACCTGTCAATTATGAATACATTATAGCACTCATTTAAATGTTTGATACCACTTCGGTTTTGTAATTTTCGAGAATGAATATGGGATAAGTTTATGTTTTGAATAATCACAGAAGGTAGATGTACAACAATATGAAAAATAGGTAACCCTAATAGGGTTGTTGGAGCAAAGGAACTGCCTTTCAAGACGTCACTCTCTGTGCTAGTGGCTCACGCACAACAACACAATTTCCTGGTCGTCCCTGTCACATTTAAGGACCACTTATCTCGGCTTTAAATAGTCAGGACACCGACAGCTAACTTCATACAAACTAAGTCGTGTCGCCTTTTAAAAACGTAAATCCGAGCTGTTGAGAGCATGCGAACTTGCAATCTTAGAAGTAGCAGTCGACCTTCAATCACCTGCCATCTCAACGACGTTCATTTAACGAGGGGAAGAGAGAAGTAGTCTCCCATGCAGTCTATCCAAACTCTTTTATACGGGCAATTCAGTTTCAGTATTTTGATAATAAAATCCCTTACACTATCAATATACGGTTCCAATCAATTTGATTTTCATTCTGATTTGTGAACAGAGGCACGCAGAAATTCTTTGTCAGATCAAAACAGCAACTAAAAACTATTTTGACTACATTTTATTATCGTATTATATCGTTTAAGTTAGGTTTTAATTCATACTTTTAAAGTTTTTAATTTACAGAGAACATTGTTAACACTAAATAAGTCTTTAAGTGGATGCTTTTATTCTGCATTTTTGAAATAACTTTTGAATACCATTATGCCATTAGTACTTGCATTGCAATAGATATGGAGATCATGTTTTCTGTTTAGTGAGCATTTTGCAATTTTTAAAAGGTTCATAGGTTATTTTTTCTTTGTTGAAGAAAGTAAGGAAGTTAATATTAAAACAACCACAATTTATAACTGTGGGTGTATCTTCCTCTTCATTCATAAACGCTCGCAGCGTTCTTGGTTTGATCAGGATTGGCTTGTTGCTCTCCACTCGTACCAACCTTTTCATCTCATCTCGCAGAGACTCTTCCCCTTTCGAAAATTGCCGCTTATCATCTGTAAGTGCTGTAAGGAAAGTACAAATGGACTTAGAAATCGGATTATGTTCGTTTGGTCTTTTCTCACTCAGATACTTTCGCCACGCTTTCCCCATTGGTCCTAAGTCTCGTTCTTCCGGGCCATTTTTGTAATAATTCTAAAGCAAGAAAATCATGATTATATTCATGGTTTTAATAATAAGTTTCTCAAAACTATAAAACATACTGTATCCTTCATAAACATGTATGTTGGTATAACGAAAAGTCTTAATATAACTGACCTAAGAGTAACCAGAGATCTCTGGAGTGACCAACAGAATAAAAATTACTAGATCTATTTTCTTAGATTAGATACATAATATAAAAAGAAACATAAGTGACAACAATTTTTTATAATATTTTAAAAGAAATACTTAAAAATACCTTACACGAGCAGAAAGAGCTTCAAATAGACGATTTATTCTTGTTTTCCTTACTGAAACAGCAAACAAACTTCGAAAATTATATTCATCAGTCGTACAAAAAGAAACGGTTTTACCCTTATGGATTCATACGCGCTCATGTAGATGGCGATAAGGAGGTTGATGACAACGATTGTGAAGATTGCAATGTAAGCGCCAAAGTAAACTCTCGAAAACCACCAAACCCATTTCCCGCCAATTTTGTTTGTTTCCAACATGGCTAGAGTGGTAAAGATTTCGTCGCCGTTAACCATGGAAAATAATGTTTCTGCAGCGGTCTCCGGTGTCCTGAACTGGGAGGAAAGTTAAACGATTACCAATAGCTTCTCATGTTTTGAAACCTAAAATTAGCTTGATATGACAAAGAACTGTAGCAGCAATGTTTTTAATAACGGGACAGGGAATAGGCTTTTCTAAAAAAACATTTCAATGTTGTGATGTAAGCCTTTGCCCTTAACATGTGTGCGAAATTTCAGATCATTCTTCAAGAATAATCGTTTTAATTGTGCAAATTGCCTTTCGGGTGAAACACATTTTTAAAGCTTTTTACCCAGTTCAGACTAATCACTAAAATCAATTTTCAATTTTAATAAAAAGCCACGTTATGCCTCAAAAACAAATAAAACTTTTCTTCTTTGAGAAGGGAAAACATTAATTTTATGATGTTTCAATAATGGTTTAAGCAAATGTAAGATGCTTGTTTCCTGTAGAAGGTAGAGATAAATTGACAAAAGTAATAAATATAAAATGTAAACAAAGGAGTATTTTGACTTCCATACAAAATACTTATGCACTATAACTGTACTTATTGCTAAAAAGCAACAACTGAAAAAGATGGTTCGGATAATGGTGCAATGAGTTACTATTTGGATACTATAAAAGAGTACAAACATTTAAAAACTTTTAGGAAATAAAACTTAAAAGCATTTCTGAGGCATATGGGCCAGTTTATATTTGTAAGAATTTGAAATTTTATGTTTGGCCTTTGGATCTCAGTGAAGGTCCTTTCAAAGCAATGACGATACATTATTTGATATGCATGAAAAACCTGCATCATGCAGATGTGTAAAATTATATCAAAATATTTCTTGATCACCTTAACTACCTTAATTAATTTTATTAATTACACATACTTTGACATGATAGGGGCTAAGAACGACAAATCCACACATCCAGAAGCCTATAAACAAAACAGTCACACATAGCAGATACGCCAACACGTTCCCAAAGGCTTTAAATAAGGTTCTGAACAATAACTGTAAACAGAATATATCTAAAATAAGGTCGTAACACATAATTGGTAGAATATAAAGAAATAAGAAAACTATTATCTCACAATTGAATATGTTTCTTAAATAGTATACCATACATGTATATCAAAATGACTTACATATCCCCTCAAAATCAACACAATCCACACATTATCGAAATCCTAATATCCTAAACATTGATAACGTTTTTAAGCGTTATCTATTTGAGAAATCCCTATTGTGACCTTAAATTTTAAAAACTTTTTTTAACCACAAACATTGACATGTGCTCTTTTGTTAACAATGTGTTGCGGTGAAATTTTTACAGTGACCGCTAATCTGATAATAAGAATTAGACATATCAGGGATCTATGCATAGTAAACAGGAATAAATCGAGATTTGATCTGTTTTCTTAATCGTATTAAGTCCACCTTTTTTACAAAACAGTGTAAAACAAAACATATAGTTCATATTATTTACATGGAATTTATTGTGGAATTTGAAGAAACGGAGAAGACTTATCCATGCAAATAAACAGCCGAAACCAAGCCAGACTGTGTAGGAATCCAACGTCTCTACTATCCACTCACTGTGCTGTAACGAACAATGTTGTTATACAATTTTCCGTTTTCGTAAATACGTTATATTATTTAAAAAAAGTGTTACTAAAATGTATGATTTATTAAGTATCGAGTACATATATCATGAAAAAAGTGTTATTCATCAAAAATAAATCTCATATATTTTACACAAGTATATCAAGAACTTGCACTATACTGTATACGAAAAGGATACTAGGGTTATTTTACAATGTTGAGTACAATACTGAACATAATCTCAAAACTGTATTGGACGAGACGATAAGGTTTTTTTTCGGTGTGTATGGTTCCAATAGAATCAGTATTGTATTTAACTGTGTAAAATAAATTATCCTTTTCACTTTTTTGACATCTTGTCATATCTATGCTACTTCTAGTACGATACGGATTTGATTGCTGAGATTTCGGAGTAAAATAATGATCCACTAAATTTTTCTTGACTCGGTAATAAGAAAACGAGGCTAGGCGTACAATAATGATTCAATATGAATGTTTGGACTCAGCAAATGAAAACGAGGCTGGGCGGATAATACAATAGTGATTTGATATGTTTTTTTTTCAAGTTGAAAGATAAGAATCCAATAGTGATTTATATTTGGAGATCGCATGATGCAAACGCCGATGGGAGATCGCATGATGCAAACGCCGAAGGGAGATTGCATGATACAAACGTCGAGACATTCATTGGTTAATCAATCTTTATAGGCATACATATTTTTGGCGTCCGCGCCGAAGCGCGGCGCCCCTTTATGGATGTGAAAGGGCGACAGCAACTTCTCGAGCCTTTTAGTCGGTCATAATAAAAGCCGATCATTCCGATCGGTATGAAGGTGCTTGATTATTAATTAATCCGTGGTACAATGAATAGCGAACTTGCAAACATTTTCAAATGAAATAACCTTTTCCGTCAATAAATCGTGCTCTTGGTTTTTTTATTCCCTGCGGTCTGGAGACCGCAGGATATTGGTACGCGTTTTACTTTTGAGGCATGGAGGAGCACGTGACCTGTTTTCGGTACATGGAGGAGCATGTGATCTGTAAACCGTACATGATTGGTTAATTGACCTTTTCGAAAACCTGGCTAAATACCGTTTGCCGGTACGTTACGGATTTATCTCTAGGGAATAGTCAAAGTGACACCTAATTAAGAACAAAAAACTATTACGTGATATTTCTAAATTTCTATAATTATTTTACCGTTTAAGGTGGAAAAACTTGAATGATGTGTTTGAAAATTATCAATGTTTCTTTAATATGTATCTCAAATTTTACAAACAATAAATTGTCTATACTGAAAATCTACAAAATTAAAATATTCGTAGTGGCATCTACCAGAATAAATAGAGATATTTTCTGCGTAAACCTGTGTGTTTACTTTTTTTTTGGTCGGAATTTTTCATAAAATGGTAGTCCTATTTAATCATTTTCTTAAAAAGAAATAATTGTTTTATGTTCAACCTTCTCCGGTCATCAACGATCACCAGTTTCCAAAGACCTTCTTCTATATTGATCGATTATTTACAACTATATTCCTGATAATACCGCGCGTTTATTTATCCCCCCCCAAAACAATCCTGGAAATAGTTAAATGAAATATCTTTATATCATTAAAAATGTTCCCCGCAGGAAACCATTTTACTTGTTTACATTTATGGTATGTTATTGTTGTACATTTATCCGAAAGCTGTAAATAGAATGATGAGTTAATGACCTAAATATTCCGAAAATCTATTTATAGAGGGATGTGCTCCTATCGGTAATTCCCGGTCTCTCCCGGTCTATTTTGACAGGGATTTACTAGTGACCGACGAAAAGTACCACACGTTTATTGTCCGGTCTCTCCCGGTTTTGGAATAGAGGTTTGATATCGTTACAGAATAGAACAAATAATTTACAGATAAATAAGCTTTTTTTCCAAAATGAATGTTTGTCAGTTAATTTGGTTACAATAATTAATGAACACAGATCAACTCTCAAATTTATTGATTATTTTTATACATAAACATACAATTCGAAAAAAACCCCAACAAGAACAACAACAATAGCATGTTTCATTTTATCTTTATGAGATAAAAACAATAAATATGTACAATAATTGAGAAAAAAGGTACATTTTTATGGTATTAATACGACACTATCAACTTTGAAACATTTTATTTAATTTGTTATTCGTGGTTTAGTAAAGATGCCGAGGAATTATTTAAAGTTACAAATTAGATTTTATGAATTATTCAATTGATTGATAATTTAAAAAATGATAAAGAAAAATACAAATGTACATGGTTTAAGAATATAAAAATAAACAATATTATATATTGAAAGATTAACCATTATTTACTGACCTTTTCCAGTTAATTTTTTACTTATAATCGTCGGTCAATATGACAAATGAATTCTTAAAATTTATTTTACAATTTAATTAAAAAAAGTAAGTAAACATAAAATAGCACATAAAACAAAAAAAAAGAAAAGAAAACAATATTCATAAAATCTGTATTTTTTTTATCAAAATTAATAAGATATTACAATTATTGTATAATAAACAATTATGCTCAACATGATCAACATGGTAATATAACCAGTGCCATATTTTTACTAAGTGTGAATAGATACCTTAAGAGGGAGTCTTCGCTAATAGCGATAACTTTATAAGGGACAATTACACAAGTGTGGTGTTGATCATGCGTTACACATATGGATTATAAATAATTGTATACATGTATATCCGTTGCTCGCCCATATGGTCTCTTTCCAGTGGCGAGGGTAAACAAACGCAAACACACAAAATCCGTTGCTATTAATAACCACGGTCATTAAGAAATAACAAGTAATATTCTAATCTCTAGCATGCCAATCAAAGTTCGTAATGAACAATGTATTTCGTCCGATCATTCATAAGTGATATACAATTCTGGTAAAAACCATTGAAAAGTTTATAAGACTATCTTGTCATCATATGTCTACTAGTTCATCTTCACTTGCTGCATTTCTTGCTTGGACGCCCTTTGATGCTTTGCATCAATGCTTTTCTTGTATATGATTATAACAAAACTGATCTATTTACATCTTACTAATTTCTACATGGATTATTTCTAAGATACACAGAGCCAACACATTGTTTTCACCATGTATCAAAGATTATTTGACAGATTTTCATTAAGTTCACAGTTGCATCTTCTCGGTCTCTTTCGTGAAATTTCATTATTATAGAATAACTGCAAATCGGCTCTTACTCGGCAGTAATTAGTGTAGCCGCTTTTTCATGAAGAAACCAGTGCTGATATTGAAAATTGTGATTGGCATATTTTAATTAGCCAGGTCAGGTGTTTCTAAAAAGGCTGATAACACTGTAGCAATGTGAGGATACATTCAAATTTAGTACATAGATAATGCAAGTGGAGCTCAGCTCGCAGAGACAAATGTGAACACAGTAACTTTTTGCTATGAAAAATATCAATTATTAATTGCTGACTGTTTTATATTTTCTAGAAAAAGTAAGCAAAACATTTTGTTTCATATGACAGGAATGAATTGCATTAATAATCCTAGGTATTGTTGAAAACTCTTTGTTTTACATGCCAGATTAAGTAATTGAACCCCATCCTTGTTTGTACGTGACTGCTGGGGAAAAATAATGTTATGCTTAATTAAAGAGGTGACACTTTCTATATCTTTATCTGATATCGAGTTGTAAGAGCCGATTTGCAGTTATATATTTGCAGTTCGATTATATGGGTAAGAGTTCCTACGGTCGTCTTAATACGAACTCTTACCCATACTAAGAGCCGAGGAAAAATCCGATTAATGCATACATTTAAGAAGTATATGAATCATACAAGTATTAGCATTTCCAAAAATGCTTGGAATCGCCGTTCACCCATATACTTTTATTGTGTGTGGTCATTACTTAAAATACTCGATTGCTCAGTTAGATTCTAAAACATTTTTTGTTCTTGGTTAGAATGTAGGAGATATTGCCCATAAGAAGAATATCACAATAACTAAACGCATAGTACAATTAGTTAGTCTACATGCGCTATTTAATCAGTGCATTAGTCGGCAAAAATAATAATTGTTTTTGCGTAATTAACAATAGTTACTTGCTACACATTGCTACATATTAAAAATGGTGTCTGTGAACATTCTATATATGGAATTTATGTTCTATACTCCGTCGACTGCTTAGCGATTTTTTTCTGAAACGGACTATAACTGACCTGCTATATTATAGACATGATGCAATAAAAAAACTTATAGTATTAAACTCGTCCAGAAAAAGCATTTATGAAGTTTTTTTCTACTAGTTTTGGAAAGAAAACAAAATATACTCTTATTAAAACTACATCGTGCACGAGACTTAAGACTGGTACTGAGTTCGTACATTGATAATGGTATTTAATAAGTTACCCGACAAGACATGGCGGTTGGGCGAGTCCATTTAAGCATCCCTCATTGAAGTGTTTGACTTCCATTTGTTATCATGTGATATTAAATTATTCGCTTTGATTGGCTAAAGGCAGGCGGTGTACAGATAGAACTGTTCAAATATTGTTAATTTTATATATCTCCGTCCAGGAACGGCGATAAAAATATAAGAGACAACATTTAGAAGATTTTATTTATAAACTAAAGCTTACCTCATTTTCAAACACGATCCAAATGGTCCCATATATAGTAAGAATATCTGATATTAACACTGCTATTTCCCAGAAATTGATCAACCTCCAATACTCCCTCATTGGCAAATCTTTTTTACCTTTGCCTGCAAAGTAGCTTTTAGTTTCCTATAAAAAATGAATGAAGATGACAATAATAATATACAGAAAAAGATGATTTAATTTCCTTGGCAAAACATATTTACAGTATATACTTTATTCTCCTAAAAGTATTTATAATGGGTTTTAAATCGGTTGAGAGAGAATAGGGGAGGGGCATTCTCCGTCGAGGTCGCTTAATTCAAATCACATGTCACTCATCGTGTGTGTTCGAAAAGAACAAAGGGTTGGTGGTTTTACTCGATTTGCCCACTTGCAGTGAAGGGCACGTGTCGTAATTCGCGTAGAAAATACCGGGAATATTGTAAATCTAGTTTGTAAATAAATGTTTTTTCTCCTTTTTTCTTTATCTTCTTTGTGTTATATAAATTACCAATCAATTTTTAACATATTGTTGAACATCTATTCATATTTATTTTTTACCATAAAAATAAACACAGCCAATAATATAATTGCCACAGATGCAAATAAGGACAGTAAACAGGAAACAATCAGAACTGCTCCCAGTGATGTTGATGTATTTTCCAAAGCCCAATCTGTAAATAAATCGTAACATGACTTTAATACCTTTATGAAAATGCAGTACAACCTCTGCATAACGACCATCTGTTGGGCAATAATTTTTTATAATATCAGTATAATTTTTTACAAAAGTAAAACTTCTCTCTAGAGCAACAACTCTAAATAACAGCCAAAGCCCATTCCTTCCAAACGGTGATTCGCTGAAGAGATTATAAAATACAACTCATTGTTTGTTTTCTTTTTGTTTAAAGCAATTTATTTCATAAAAATATAGTTTTTTTTTACTTTTGTTACCGTCAAATAACGCAAAATTGTCTATGAACTTCTACTCCATTTCTATGTAGGGCGATGATCTTTTATCAAACACAGAAAATACAACATCCGGTCAACGGACCGCATCGTGAAAAGGTCCATATTGCTAATTGAATTTTAATATGTTATTATATCTGTTGGAATGAAATTATAAAACAACTAAAAGCGGTTTAAGCTCCAGTTTTTCGAAAAAAAAATCGAGCTATTGTCAATGTCATGGTTTCGTACCCGTTGCAGAATACTTTTACATTTATCAGATTTGTGACTTACTTGAACACAACAACCTTTTGAACAATACGTTCAAGTAGGCCAGACTGAACTTGACCTTTACTCGTACAATGTTCTTCCTCCAATGTGTTTATCTTTGGAAACAGGACAACAATGAACACTGGCGGAGGCTCTTGTTTAACTTTTATACCTGTTTTTAAAAGGCATGAATAAAATAGTCTATTTCACAGGAAAATCTGTATATATGATGTTTATATGATAAACAGAACTTAAAATGCATTTTTTAAAACTACCTTTTACAGTAATGTTTAAATGTTCACATTTGATTCTTCTAGTCAACGTTTCTAAATTGACAATAACTTGTCCATTGTTGTCCATGTCGTTGAATGTCACCTGTTAATAGAATGATACATGATTAATCAATTTTCACCTGAAATATTATTTTATATTTATATATATCAATGAACAAAATAAAAATGATAGGACGAAATGAATCGTTTGGAAGATTTTTACACCCACAACAGTTGGTACATGTATGACATACTGTGTGGCATCTATAAAATTTACACTGCACTTCTTCATTAAATTTTATCTTTTTCTTGTCCCTTTCAACGCATTAAGTGTAGAATATTGAATACAATTAAAGCCGGTGCAGGTTTGGTGTTAGACATATCTTACATCATTTATTATCTCACATCAACAACCTCAGTTATATAAAGTCTTTTCTTTTTTCTTTGTTTCCATTGTTCTAGAGAGGTTTCCCTTTTTCCAGATTTTTATATAGATATCATCTATCATTAGGCTGGTAAACGTTTTAACTCAAGAGAAAATATTGCAGAAACATCTTAGTAAACGAGGCTCTTCAATGCAGTTTGGCTAAATAATTGTGTTCTTATTCAAAAGCGGACAGACACTGTTAACAATATGCTGATATATTTAATCATGAACATGCTGCTTTTCTTGATGTCCAATTTCAATCTTTGGAACAATCCATACAAGTTTTGGGGATATCAAGATTTTTTATGAACATCACTGAGCCTTGTGTACAAGCTGACATGGCTCAATTCTATTTGCAAAGGCTATGAAATTCCGGATCAAGCATGTAAAAGGTTAAAAATCATTATATAAAATGCAGAAAATTTATGGATTTTTTTTTAAAGAAATGTACTTGTTTCTTTAAATTTCGCAGCAAAGATATTTTCAATGTATAAAAATTCATACCAAGCCTTGTACACGTAAACATCGTGCTAGTCTCACTTTCTCATACACCCGTACGGAATGTATCGAAAAACGTAATTCAGTGGACAACATTCTACAAACAAAGCAATTTATTTAATAACATGTTATAAAACTGATCAGTCAGTCAGTCAGTCAGTCAGTCAATCAATCAATATTTTGTAAACAATCGATGTATTTGCTGTCGCATATTGGTTGCGCCCCTGAAGAGCATGTTGCTATGTTCAGGGTTGTGCAATAAATCCAGCGTCCCGGAATAATTGCTGATCCCGATTGGTCTATATGTTCGGATTGGGCTAATCTACGTGGTGAGACATCGCTTTTTAATGTCCTATCCGACAGACAGTTAATATTGTTATTGGTCGAGAGGAGGTTCTAAAATGCAATCTGTCGATAACTTTAACAACAATGTTCTTATCTATTTATCATCGTTTTTGTATCCACCTGTTTTACACTTTAAGACTAGTTTTAAGATAGATAAAAATGCTCAATTTTACATATATATTTTTAAAGGGAAATAATTAAATTCAATACAGTTATACTTTCCCTTACGTGGGATCAGATAAAGATACAAGTGTGCAGATAAATTGTTAGAGAAATGAGAGAAATATATATATATATATATATATATATATATATATATATATATATATATATATATATATATATATATATATATATATATATATATATATATATATAAATATATATATATATATATATATATATATATATATATATATATATATATATATATATATATATATATATATATATATATATTTTATTGATTGATGTCATTGTTACCTTTTATTTTTCAATGAACTCGTGTGATAATGATAGCAACAAATCTAAAGTATAGAGGAAAGCCCATATAATATGCCATGTAATTTCTGAATAACAGACAGTAAACAAGATCTTATAAAATCTTTAAATGTTTGTTAATTTTATATAATAGAGAACAATTACCGTTTGATCGGTTGTTCCAAACCATTGCCTGTTAATTCTTTAATGATATCATAATCGTATATCTGGTTTTGTTGCGACAATCCACGATCGGCAGAAAATGTTTTGTCTGTAGCAATAAATGTAAGTCAGTCGTAGTAAACATGGTTTCACTGTTTTTGTTATTCTTAAGGAAACTAACTCCTTTGTATACATGAATTGTTTATATTTTGCTAGATTTTGAATGGTCAATATTCAGTCTGAAATTTTAAATTAACTAGTGAAACTCCTCCATTTATTCAGGTCTTTCCTGAACAGTTCACAGGAAGTAAAGTGAATATTGGCAGATGACGGCCGAAAAAAATGTAAACTAGAATATCGGTAACATCTATGGATGTTCTTTAATATCAAAATATTGCAAAATTATAATGAAAATTTGAATATGTATTTATCCACAACGACTGTGACTTCACATAATCGACATAAAATCGACATAAAGGGGTAAATAACCATTATACATACTTACATGTACATAAAATATAGAAGTTATCAATAAATGAAAGCCTTTTGAGTATTTGTTTATACTTCTCATGGGCTTTTATGCCTATTTGATTTAAATAATATCAACTTCTAAACTTTTATCACCTTACTTTTAACCCCATACATCCAATTTCTCTGCCAATGACTGATATAATACAAGATGCAAATAAGATGCTGGTGGATATAATAATTCTACTAAAAGAAACGGTAAGATTGGCATCAAAGGGAGAAATCCGTGGCTATAACATGTTCTGAAATAATTTTCGAGGCCCATGATAGACTATAAAAATCCTTTACTGATTCTTAGGATTCGTCAAGTCGTTTATAATTTTTCATAATTATTATACATAGATATCAACTTACACATATTTACTTTTTGGTTTTGATGTTATTATTCTTGAAATTGTGAGGTTATTTTCTTGTTTCGATTGTGAAATTTGACATATAGACTAAATTTGTAAACTATTTGGAGTGGATTCTGTATAAAATGTAATCTGTGGCGTAATGGTTTAGACATCTGTCACACTCAAAATCTGAAAATATCCTTCGGAATCATTAATCACAGCAAATATAGATGAAAATTGCAGAATCGGTTTGATTGTGTGGCATTCTATTTTCAAAACTTAAAAATGCTGAAATCAATGTTTCCGAAGGACCAGAAAAAATATAAGTGAAGTACGGGGCAACATTTTACAGCTTTTTACAATCCATATTTCCTCATATCGTAACACGGAGTACCCGAAAGTGGTTGATGCAAAAACGTTGAAGAAACTAAGCTTGAAATCGTGGAATTAAATTACAATAAATCTAAAGGAACAGAAGAAATACTATAAACATTTTACCTTGAATTATAACACCTTGTGTCACATTAGCGTCTTTAAAACCAGGAAAATCAAAGTATTTCACTTGAATTACCATGGTGTCAATAGTTTTACGCTGAAAGTAACCTATTGCATCCTTTTCTGCATTGTAATACTAAAAATGAAAACGAAAGTAAAGGTAAATAATAGGCAGATTACGGCCGAAAAAAATAATGTAAACTAGAATATCGGTGATATCTATGGACGCTCTTTAACTTTTCTATGACACAACTGAAACATTGCCAATTTTTTTTTATGCCAACAATTGAGTTTGAAATCTGAAATGCGTATGTCTTAAGATGTAAGACAGCATTTTAACACCGTTTCAATAAACGTTTTATTTAGGACAAAGATAAGAAAAACACTGGTTCGCCCTTTAATCCGTCATGTTCATTTCCATTGCTATTGAAGGAGTCATACAAGAATTCATATGTAAGGTACCTCAAACCTGTCTTAGTTAGGTCTGATTTTAGACTTAACACTTTTTTATACAAATGAGTCCTAAATATCATTTTGCATTGTTCTATCCTTTAACAGAGCTAGAAAAAAACTGTCATTCCAACTTAAAATAAGTTCTACTAGTTTTATCAATGAAATGGTTTGTCAGAAAAGGCAATACAACTAGATATGCTGATGAAAAGTAGTCTATTTTATTGTTATCATTGATACATATTTGCTGATTTGTTTTTAACTAAGACACCATAAGAGCTAATAGAACTGATAGAGAAAACTGTCCTCTGACATATTTTGGAGAAAATCGCCAAATCACCTAAATTTTTTTGTTTTAAGATTTAAGGCAAACAATTATTAGATACTTATAGAAAAATGACTATAAATATGTGAATTACACTTATCAGCTAAGTATGTGAAGTATATTATTACCCCTCTAACTGCAAAGTTGATGCCACTCTCTAAATCGTCTATAGTGTAAACAGCAAAGTCACCTTGAGCTGGAGGATACGCCAAAGTTTCCCATGCTGAAGGTTTTTGTGACAGAATAGAAAAATTAACACTTATATCAAAATGCAACATTTTTCTATGGCAAATGTATCATACATTGCTATCAATATCGGCCTTTAGGCTGTTCCAGCAGCAATTTTGCTTAATCAAACAAAAGGGTAGATGACGATAGTTTTCGGAAAATATTGTATTTTCACGAAAATAGGTAGATTTTATATGTAAAGGGCGGACTAGAGCCTATGATACGCGGACCTTCTTAGATGTTATTTCTTTGGGGTGCACAATGTGTTATACATTGCCGTAAACAACTGCCTTATGGTTGTTGTAGCGCCCATTATGCATTGAAATCGGATAACCATGCAGGTGGCGGTGGTTTCCAAATTTTTGTACGTTTATAAAAGTACGCTAACAGACTTTTGCTTATGCTTTGCGGGTCTTCGGAGACTTTATTCTTTAGGGGTGCACAGTGTGCCATGCATTGCTGAAACGATTATCCTCTGGCTGTTTCAGCGGCCATTTTGCACTAGTGCCAAACTTTAAACGTGCATAGCCTGTACAAATAATTCATTGTCTGCATAGAATATAATTTTGAATTTTACTAAAAATACATTACCCAAAAATTGATAACTTAAAAGCAAAGTATTAACATTATATATGTATCAGTACCCTCATGATGGTAATTAACCAAAGACATATAAATAAAATATGTTTTAAGTTTTTAAATCGTTCATCAACTTACAAAATTGAGTTGATTAAAAACTAGGTGGAAGTTATCATTCTTCCACTAAATACAAAATGACATGTGGTCATTTCTTTGAAATGTTGCTATAAAATTAAAAATGATCACCATTTAACACTTTAGTGACAAGTGTTACAAGCTTTTTAAAAATATGACGTTTGCCCCTATTCATTATTGTTGTCTACTCAATACACTGAAAAACTCAAAAATTGAAAATTATAAATCTAAAACTGTATAAGTCCATCGCGAAAAAACTGTAGCCGGGTAATGGGTAATCGTGAAAATTTCTTAAAGAAACTATTGCATAACACCGTTTTCCCATAAGCAACATATAAATATAAAAAATTCCAACTTACATGCATCCCAGTCTTTAAGAAGTAGATGCCTTAACGTTAAATGTCCACGGTTGACCACTTCACTAAAATTGCCATGATCATAACCAAAATTAAACATCTGCAAAAAAGTAGCATCAAAATGATAGGAAAATATCACTCAAGTATCTATACGTCATTATATTATCATATATTGTATATAGGAACTATTTAAAACACACGTCATTTCTTTTGTGAAAAAATATCTTTTTTTAGTGATGAGCATGTTTTTATAAACAATATCCGAGTTGTTATGTTGATATGTTTCCCATTGTGGCTAAGGGTTGCTTTTAAGGATTGACGCATCAGAACTGCAGCAACCGTTTCGTAGGAGGCGACTAAATGGGTACGAATTACTTAAATGATTGCATCTCTTAGTTCCAGCACGTGAGGTGTTTAGACACATGATGTTGTTTTAACTTTGTAATACCCGAGGTTAGCCCAACTCATCTATCCTGCTTCTGTGCCATATGACCTAAAAAATTTGTTCACCGTAAAACCAATCAACCAACCAAACAAACAATGTATATAATTATGTTTCATCAGTACAATCATGTCGTTATCTAATTACAGTATTTAGATGACTTTCCCCACATGATACAGAGCAGGTGCAGCCAAGAGGATGCCATAAATTTTCGTTCATGGCAAATCCTTATTTTATAGGCAGATAGGCAATTTACTAGTTTTCCAGAGGGACAATGAATCAAATTTCTGCGTTATTTTCACTATCAAGGGAAGTTGATATCCAATTCTAAACTAGTCAAATCCCAGAGGCAAGAGGGGTCATGACTTCTCCCGGCCCGTGGATAAGTGCGTGCAAAAACTATAGGGAACATGGGAAAAGGAAAGAGACGGGACACCAATACGGGATAGAGGTATACAACAATGTATTTTAAAACGATGTATTCTAATAGTCCATACCTGTGATGTAATCAACATTATCTTTATGATTTGCATGAGAAGTAAGATGGAATAAACAACATGGATCGAGCACGAGTCGCCCTGTAATTTAACTGGGCTGTAAAGATAAAACTTCAACCAATTCCGTAACCGTCTCGTTTTGTCTGAAAAGTAATATACCAAGAGGTTAATAGAAAAGAAGAAAAGAAAAACAGTTTGAACGAAAAACATTGAAAAGAAGATAAAAGGTAACATTTTTTTAAAGCGCTATTTCCGCGTAACATCATTCTAAAAAAGGTATGGTATGGTCACGATGGAGTGATTAAATAATTAAACGTGAGACATTACATTTAAAACAAGTTAATTTTTTCTTCCCTTTTACCAATTATACCCTGAATGACATCGTTTTTCCGTTTATGTTTTTTAAAAAAAACTTCTACCCCTGATAAACTAAAATTCTTACAAAACGATTAAAAATACATTTAAACGTCTAAAGTCGATTAGTTATTCAATATATAATTATGGAAGAGAACTGTTATTCTTCTAAATATTTTGAAAAGCGTATATCGTTCTCATACCAATGATCTTTTTCTTATCAGGTACGTTAGTTGACGTCGTTCCATGATCATCTAAAATATATTACAATGTTTATAATTTTAGTCGAGCATCGAATGTTCACAAAATAGGCACACGACATTGACAGAATTTCTATAATATATCAAAATAAGGTGTATGATTTTAATTGTAAAAACATTTTGCTATTTATTCGAGGATTGTTGAGTTCAAGAAACGAGCATAGATAAATAGTATATCGGCTGTTCAGTTTAGTTTGTTCTACCCCTGATAAACTAAAATTCTTACAAAACGATGCAAAATTCATTAAAGACTTTAAATCGGTTGGTTATTCAACATAAAAGAGAACGGTTATTCTTCTTTATATGTTGAAAAGCGTATATTGTTCTCATACCAAGGATCGCTTCCTTTTCAGAATCCCGTTTTGGTCCCCGTGGTTTCTTTTTAGGAATATCTAAAATGTATTACAAAGTTTATAATTTTAGTCAAGCATCAAATGTTCACAAAATAGGCACACGACATTGTTTCGCACATTAAAAGCTTAAACATATTTTTGACAGAATTTCAATAATATATCAAAAT